AGAAATAGATGGGGATGCGCTGGGACACGGGGTCCTTGGCCATAGTTCCGAGACGACCGTCCTCACTGCGGAGAAGATCCATGATGATTTGCATATCGGTAGCATAGTCGCGGCTATCAGAGAACACCATGATGGCATCGATGTTTGTCTTGGAGAAGTCGCGCGGACGAGATGTAGCGCGGTCTTCCTCAGAGAAGACGCGGTAGGGCGCAATGGTAGGATCCCAGGCGACGATGTCGTTGGGGACGACGATGTCCTGGAATCCGTACTGCTCAGCTACCTCACGGCACTTGTAGCCTTCGCCGCCAACGACGAGGACGGTCTTGTAGTACTCGGCTAGAGCACGCATGGGAGTGTGCGACTGGATGAATTGGTCTGTTGAGATGGGCGACTTCAGGATATCGGACAGTTGCTTGCAGCGGGGCGCTTCGGGCTTGCCCGAGCCGTTGGTCAGGAAGATATGTGGGATCTTGATGCCGAGTTCGTTGTCACCGTTGAGGATCTCGAGGACGCGTTTGCCCTCGGGGATCAGGCGGTCGCCGTGGACGAGCACGCCGTCGATGTCGAAGACGAAGGCCATATCCTTTGCGGCTTGCACTTTCTCTCCCGACAGATCTTGCATTTGGGCCGCGAGGATGTCGCGGGAGGGCTGGATGGGCGGCATGCCCGGGCGCTGGGCCAGGCCATCGGGGTAGTGGACAGAAGACAATCGTGATTGCCTCTTTGATCGCGGGATGGGAAGGGAGGTACCGAAAGAGTTGCGGGAGCCTCTGCGATCCTTCATTGAGGGGCTCAAGCTGAGGTTGTGCATGTATGCTGAGGCATCTGAGATGGAGCTCCTGGTTGCGGGAACCTCGATGGAGTTTGCGGTTCCGTTTCCGGGGCCATCAGTGGGAATGGAGAGGGTGGCGCCATTGCTTCCGACGGCTTGGGTGGTTTTGCCGTTGGTGCTGTGGAGGTCACGGGATTTGGTGGAGGTGAGAGGGGTTTGGAAGTCGGAGTCCTCGAAGGTGGGCATGTTGGATAAACTTGAAAGTGACTTGATATGTGGAGTGTGAGTATGTGATATGAATAAAGATCAAAAGATATGAAAGTCGAGCAAGCTACTTATATATGGAGCAGCAAGTCAAAAGATATGAGTGAGAATGATGAACACTTGATGAATGCTCGAATAAAATCCAGGGTCGTCTTCCCCAGATATATACTTTCATTTCATCATCACCCTGATCCAACGTTGCCCTCCATCCTGCCGCCAGGACCGGCCGAATCAGTCTAGTTTCTCCACGCTCACCACCCCCCCAAGCCGCAAGTCCCAGGAGGAACATCTCTGCACAATCTCTTCAAGTCCCCGATCCCGTACCTCTCCGAGAACATGAAACGATGGCCACCCAAACATCCCCAAAACAGACATGGATAATAACTCTGGATACCTTGATAACAAGTGAGCGTATGAGGTACCCACATCCACCGACACGATGACGGACAGGGTTTCGGCCGGAGCCACCACTCACTGCTCTACGGTCGAAAGTGGCAGGACAGGGCAGGGCAGGGCAGGGTCTGCTACGCGAATCGGTCGGTTAGACCCGAGTTGTCACAGACGGCCATGCCGTCATATCAAAAGCGGAGAATTGACGTCGAAGTGGCAGCACGCCAGAGTTTCCCACGTTGTGGCGAGAGATGCGTTGTTTGGGTTGTGGTGTGGTTGGAAAACTTAGCGTTGCCGAACAGCCCTACAACACATGGGTACGGTGGGAGTGCCGAGCGAAAAGCTAGGTGGTTAGTTCCTTGTACATACAATACTGTAGAGAGTAAGACATATGGGATGTTTCTTGTGGTCCGATTAGGCCGATACCAAGCGAAGAGCTCCTTTTTCGTGGCCAGGATTACTCTCAAGTCACCGGTTGATGAGTACTGTTGCGAATACTGGAGAAAATGTGAACGTGTGTTGTTGGATTGGGTAGATAGATGATTGATGCATGATGCATGATGCCAGAATCGTGTGGGCCGAAATTCAAAAAATGACGTACTACGCGATGCAGACTAGTGTCTTACAAAAAAAGGGTCTGAAGATATATCGCGTTGCTGTGGTTTGCCAGAAGCCCCATGTCGTTCGCCGAGATTCCCCACTTTTTACGTTGCGGCTCTATGCATGGGTGTTCTAGCGTTGCCTGTTGATCTTTTTTCTTGCGCTTTCGTCAACCGGTGGCGACAATCCCGAGAAAATACCATCCAACCACTTGGATTTGGCTTGGAGTTTCGAAAAAATTGCGGCCCGTTTGCTCGGCCGTGGAGATGCATGAGCCTTGTTCTTCAGCTTCGATTGTGGATCATGGTGATGTCATGATGGGGATAGAGAAAAGGACTGGAATTGCGGTCAGAGAAGATTGTGGGGTTGTTGAGGCAGATTTTGTGGATGGTTTTCGTATCGGCTCCGGTCAACTTGTCTGAGTTTTCGTGTTGCCTGAAAAGGACCGGGTGCTTGGACGTTATCTGGGTTAAGGAGGTTGTTGTGCTGGTATATCAGTGCTCTTGACGTCAACTTCAGAATTAGCATCATCTTTACAAAAAACGTACGCTACTGGCTTAAGATCAAAACTTCATCTCGACCTCATCTCAACTTCATCTCTTCCAGTTGAAATCTTGACACCACACCACTTTTTCCATCTACACTTACGCTTCATATCATCAAAATGGGCAGCTACATCCCGTCTCAGAGCGAGAAGACTTTCACTCTCAACAACGGGGTTACCATTCCCGCCGTTGGCTTCGGAACCTTTGCGAATGAAGGCTCCAAAGGCGAAACATACAAAGCAGTAACTCATGCTCTTCAGACAGGTTACCGACATCTCGACTGTGCCTGGTTCTATCAAAATGAGAACGAAATTGGAGAGGCGGTCCGAGACTTCCTTGCTGCGAATCCACGTGTTCAGCGCAGTGATATCTTCATTGTCACCAAAGTCTGGCAGCATCTACATGAGCCGGAGGAGGTAAAATGGTCGTTCAACAACTCATTGAAAGAGCTACAAGTCGATTACATCGACCTTTTCATGGTTCACTGGCCAATCGCCGCAGAGAGTGATGAGAACCATCAACCGAAGCTTGGTGCCGACGGAAAATACATCATCAAAAAGGAGCTTACAGAGAACCCGGAGCCGACATGGAGAGCCATGGAGGAGATCTATCGCTCCGGTAAAGCACGCTCGATTGGTGTGTCAAACTGGACCATCGATGGACTCAAGAAGCTCATGAGCTTCGCAGAAGTCAAGCCTGCTGTCAACCAAATTGAGGTCCATCCTTTCTTGCCAAACACTGAGCTCGTCAATTTCTGCTTCCAGCACAACATCTTGCCTGCAGCATATTCCCCGCTCGGTTCGCAGAACCAGATTCCTAGCACAGGAGAAAAGGTCCGAACGAACTCCACACTCATCAAGGTTGCTGAGCGGAGTGGCAGCACCCTTGCCCAGGTCCTGCTTGCGTGGGGCCTCCAAAGAGGTTACGTTGTGTTGCCCAAGAGCTCAACGCCCGAGAGGATTGAAAGCAACTTCCAGATTCCCGAGTTGAGCGATGATGACTTTCAAGCCATCGAGAGTGTCGCCAAGGGAAGACACACGAGGTTTGTGAACATGAAGGATACATTTGGCTACAACGTCTGGCCAGAGGAGGAATAAACATGTCGTCGAGCCTGTATTGGGAATGATTCAAATGCTTCCACTTGATGATGGATTTGTGGATTCGGTGTTATTGGCGTGGTTTTGATTTTGTACCTGGGACGATACCAAAGGTTGCTCACAGATGAGCAACGTTGACAGACAGAATGTGTACTGTTTTTGCATAGGACTGCGCCTAGGAGATTGTGATATTCGCACTTGGATTGCTGTGTGAACGTGATACGCTACAACAGTTCCGTGAGTCTTCTCTTCGATGCCGCTGTTCACTTGGACGATCTAGGTGAGCTGTATCGTAGCAATACATGATTCGCTATCGTCCCTCAGCCAAATTCAATGTCCCGAACATTGCTTTTGTCGGACGGGAAGATGCATCCCATTTGTGCAGAGTAACAAGAAATGCTCCGACAACTGTTCCATCCAGTGAGAGAAGCCAGCGAGCACCATTAACCCGAACAAACTTTCAGCCCTGCGAGTATCCGAATGTTGTGTATGTCGGTGGCGAGCTGGGCTCTAACCCGCACCCGCGTTTCTCAGACCCTGAAGCCTGCACGATCCGGAAAAGGAAATATCAAACGAATCATAAAATAGAAGTCGAGTCCAGTTCGATATTCCTTCTGTGATATGCCCCTGAATCATGCATCACGATCTCAGAGATCCAGTGCGAATTTTTACGACGATCTGATCTGCCCGCTTCCCGCCGCCTCGTCAGCCCACAAAGCAAATCTCAGTCGACGTGGTCGACCGTGGTACATATCACATCGCTCGGGGCCGCCATACATCTGCCAGCCAAGGGAAAAAACATCGAGGGCGGTCCAATGTCGCTGAACCATGTGTGGGCAGTCTTGGATACCGCGAGCATACCGAGCTGAGCGTGAGCGAAGGACTCATCTAAACACCAGGTGCAAGCAATGTCCCATTTCCACCAATTTTGGTCGGCGACGCGCGTTCAAAAGGAAACTGTCGATTCCTGCGATAGACGGAGTCGATGCTGGATAAATTATGGTAGGTAGAGGGGAACTTGGGTCGTTCATTGTTGATGGAGAGACGAAGAACTTCAAGGAGGGTCCCACTTAGAAGGAGTTGACTCCAACCTTCCTGATCTGGCAATCCCGGCGACTGGTAGGATATCGTTGATGACTGCACTAAAATGACTTGAATATTAGAGTGGGGGTGCGCCGTGCTCCGAGACAAGTGCCATGGGCGTTGCGTGGAGGGGTCACAGATGCTGGATGCTAAGCACAGCCGCTTAACGCAGGTATTACTACCTATATAAGATTATCAAAGCAGAAACTTTCATCAAATCAGCCCAAGCACGATCAGACGATCGTATCACTCCGCTTGGTGTAGTTGGTTTGTAAGTTGAATGTCCCAATTGGATTGTCATCAGCCTCTAACATTGTTTAGATCACGTTCGGCTGTAACTGTTCATTGCCACCGAAAGGTCCCTAGTTCGATTCTGGGAGCGGAGATTTCTTTTTTTGCCCCTCGAAGTCTCTCCCATTGATCAAAACTGATCAGCGTCCGCATATAAAAAGAATTGCAGGCACTCTCCTATCTTTTTGCATTGCAATGGACATGCCTGCTATAGGCGTCTATTCCAACCTTAATTAGTCTGACAGCTATAGCGTATGCAGGGTGCTTGCCAAATTAACTTTTGAGCCTGCATCAGAGTCATTTTACATCCTGACTTCAACTCATGGAATATTGTAAGGACGGTCGTAGTCGCCCAGCTAGGATCCAATTCAGCATAATCCCCTCGTTGCGAGTCATAATTTCGTTCACTCTACGCATGAGCAACGTTCGAGCTCGGTCACACAGGACGTTCATGCTGTGAGACACGAACCACGTCTAGCACATTTTTTCGGAGTGGATGTTTCTCGCGTGCGACAACCCACGAAAACCACCATGCCGTTTGCCCTACAGCATCTCGTCTCATCTCAAACTTTTGCTTTTTGTCGGCAGCTACCCGCAAGGAACCGCGCGATAATCTCCTCGACCTGTGCTATCATGATCGGGTGGCGTATTGAGCACAGCGCCACACACTGCTATGGACAAACGACACCAAAACACCTCCGTGCACTCGGTGTCTCTCACTGCGGGCGCTTGTCAGAATTGACACTCATTTAGCGCTAATTTGCCCCATGGCTGGCCAGATGCATCATGATTGCTTGCAGATATCCAACAGGCTGATTAGGGCCGATCTTTAGACAGGCCCCGGCAGGGTGCGGTATGCGTTTGCAACACTCCTGGTCGTCACCCATTGTGGTGGTTCGGTCCAGGACAGGACGGACTTGTGGAGGATCCAGGGTTCATGAGATTTTGCCGCCCGTAGGGAATGCTCCCAAGACACCGGGTGGGAGCCTTCTCTTATGTTTCAGCAGCGTCCTTCCCCTCTTCGCCTTTTAATTCTCAGTTGGTGTTCGGTTTTCATTTTACCTTTGCTCTAGTCCTGCTAGTTCTTGTTAGCATCCGTCCGTCTCAACTGACATTTTGCGCCTCATTAACCATGAATCGACAAGTAGATGCAGAGCGGTCCAATCTTTCCGTCCGACATGCCATTGACCTGTAAGTCCGTCTTCTTCTTTCTTCCTCTGTCCTTGCCCTGTTCAAGTCAAGTCTTCTACAACATTTCAATTTTTTCCTGAGTGAAATTGGACTCTAGCTCAAAGTAAACCCCAGGTCAGACGCTCCACGGCCATGCTCATTAGAGCAGATAAACACTAGGGCATTTATTTCTTCGGTACCCTCGTCACGTCGTGCTTCTCGCAACAACCTAAGACTACCAAGAAGAACTTCCCTAGTAACAAACATCAACACTTCATTCCCCAACACCAGTTATGAAATCCCGCAATTAACAAAGACTCCGTGGGAATTGGAACGCCACAAGAAGAATTCGGCATGGAGACGAACCAGAATGGAGCCATTCTTTCCCAGCAATATGTTCAAAAGACTGCCCAGGGAAGTGTATGATTGCATTCTCAAGCATTTAGAACAGACCCATCTCGAAGACAATGAGAGTTGTCGCTCATGTTATCTGAAAGATTTGCACAGCCTTTCTTTGACCAGTCGTTCGTGGGATCGAGCTGCTACCCTTCAACTGTATGACGGCTCATATTCTTCGAATGAACGTTGCTGAACTTTACGATATAGGTACCAGAAAGCTTTGGTCTTAACCAACGAAGACCACCCTAAGATGCCTAAGGTCAAAGTTAAAGGAAGCAGTCGACTCAAATTACTGCGACGAACACTTCGAGAACGACAAGTGCTAGCTAAATGTGTTCGCGAACTTCATCTTTCCGACATCTACGACCTGTACCAAAATGCGACCATTGAGCGAGAAGAGATAGTAAACCAGGTCGCTTCTCTAGTTCTTGCATGTCCCAATCTGGAGCGCATTGTTGGATTTCACCTCCCTTTCACCCACTCATTCGATCGACTTTCTCACGCTCTCTCTACGAGGCGTAAGTTAAAAGAGCGCGTATGGCTCTTGTCCGAGAAAACCGGATTTGAACCTGACGAAGAAGAAGACGACTCTCCTTACTACAATCCCGCCAATGATCCAACCGAACGATTTCTTGAGCTTAATTCTAACCACTCAAGCTTGAATACGTTAGTGATTCACCAACAGCAATCACGACCTACCGTTCCCCTCACCTTCCGCGCCATCATCGGCACCATCAGGCAGCTCCCATTACTACGAAACCTCTCACTGTCTGGTCTCCCCGCATCATCATTCACGAATCTAGCCCTGAACGCACTACCACTGAATTTACAATCGCTCCGCCTCGAAAATCTCCCAGGCATAAACGACAAAGGCCTTCTTCGACTAAGCACCTCACAAATCCTAGTATCCCTCCGCAGCCTTACACTCATCAACCTCGAAATCGCCAACCTCTCCATCATCGCCAACATCCTCTCACCCCACCTATACCACCTCAAGCACTTTACCCTCGCCCAACACAAAGCCCCGTTCCTCTCCCCCGACGCTGAAATCACATACCTCCATTCCCACGCCCTCACTTCCATCCACTGGGAAATTCGCTCTCAAGCGAGCCCCGTCCCAACCCTGCACGATCCAACACCGACTCCGCAATTCCCCTTTCCCAACTCCGAACCTCTACCCTGTCTCGCGACTTCTCTCTTAGCCACCAGTATCAAAAACGACTTTATCCCTTCGCTCCGTCGGCTCCGCGCACCCCATGATCCCCAGGGTATACTCCAGAATCTATGCAAACCACTTGCGACTGCCCTCTTGCCCTCAGATATCTCCTACCTGAACAGTCTCTCTACGAAGTCTGCTCTCGACACTCACAACATTCCAACTTCCTTCATGGCTTCCGAATACGCCAGCACCTATATCCACCGGGCCGACTCTGCCATGTCGTCCCCCTTAATATCAGAATTCCCCTCTACATACACAAGACCACCCCGCTTCCATCGTTCTTCTGCCTCCATCTCCTCCTCGTTCTCAACTTCTTCAACATCCACCACCTCACCATCCGCAATCCCCCCAACATCCTCTCTCTCAACACGCCTCGCAGCCCAAGCCCGCATCCTCGCAGCGCGCAAGCACCCCTGCGTCCTGGTTCACGTCACGGATCCGAATGGAGCGCTTAGGGTTGGGAAGCCGATTGGCGGATTTAGGGGGAACGTGGGTTCGGGGATTATTTATGGGGTGGTGGCGGATGGGGGAAAGGTAGAGGGAGGCGGGAGTGAGTGGGTTGTTGGGATTGGAGATGTGGTTGGAGAGCTGAGGGGAGATGGGTTTGGCATGGGAGTTGGAAAAGGAAGTTGGTGTCGACATGGTGTCGTGAGGGATAAGAGGGGCGAAGGTGTAGGCTTGGGGAGGAGAGAGAGTGTTAGTGTTGGAGCGTTGTTTCGGATGGAGTTGGGATGAGTTGGCTTGCTTTTTGTGTATGTCGACTTTTTCCATATTTTTCTTTTGGTCTTTCTTTTGGTCTTCCTTTTGGTTGGGATTTTTTGGGGGCAGGGATGCCATGATTTTGGGATGCATGTTCGTGTAGATTTAATGGTTTTTGTTTTGGGGGTTGGAAATTGGAACGGAATTTGGGAACTGGGAATCAGGAATTGGGATTTAGGAATCAGGAATTGGAAATCAGGAATCAGGAATCAGGAATTGGGAAATGGGAAATGATCACGGGAACTATAATGGTATTGGCAAAAGGCTTCGTCATGGGATGGCATGGGAATGAATAGGAATACCCCTTTGGAAATGAGTACTGGGTAACTAGTGGAATGGCGTTGGTCCTGGGTAGTCTTTTATATGATGAATATTAGTTACTCGTTTTACTGCGGATTTCTTCCTGAAATTAGGATCGATGTCATTCGTAGTTTCCTTATTTGGTCTCGATCGTTCCACCCTGAATTCCTGAGAGATTGTCACTCATCTCTATCATTAATATCACACTTTGACACCCGTGGCTCTCACACCTGGCAATCAAGCTTGTTTGTAGCAAGCCATAACCACTGAAGTCACGACACTTCCACATCACAGGATCAAGGAAGTTGGTTGGGTGGTGATCACTAATTTAGGAAAAACATTATACAAGATCAATCCACATTTTCCGTTCTGGTTACGAAACGCATACGTCCAAGTCTATACAAACCCCACTTTAACGAGGAAACCAAAAGTCTCGAACTCGCATACGCTCTTCCATAGACCTGCGAACAAAACCAAGGACACCGAACCTAGCTCTGATATGCCAATTTTTTTGTAACTCGGAAGATAAGAGCCAGACAAACTATGCGTACGGGTATTTTCAAACTCCAGTCCAATGCAGTCGCTAACGATAAGAAAAATTATGACGAAAAGGAAATAAAGTCCACTTCGGCCGTCCAGACTTCTTCTCGAGGGGCGACTTGATCCAATTAGATACGCCATAGGTACTACGTTGGCGGCACCTTGGACCGGTCTCCACCACGTTCCAGCCAGCTCTTTTCAATGATAGAATCCAGCGCGGCGTAGAGGATCTTGTAGGCGGTTCTGATTGTGCCGTCGCTGACATCCACAACATCACCAATCTGCTTCGGAGACCGACCCTGGTTCATGAGGTGGGCAATGAGATAAATGCAAGCACCGGTGATCGATAGGGGTGAACGGCCAGCAGCAACACCAAGAGACGTGACTTTTGCGGCACATTCTTGCGCGACAATGCTCGTGAGTTGGTCGAGTCCCAACTTGTTGCATGCGCGACCAATAAGCTCCGAAGCCTCCGTAGATTTGGTGTGCTTGAAGCTGGCGCTATTGAGGGCCGCACCGCTGCCAGCAGTCTTTGAGCTACTGTTCTCCTCCTGGATTTTCTTGTGAAGATATGACTCGAGAGCCTTGAAGGTACGGCCAATTTCCTTCTTTGACACACTGGTGAGCTTGAAGATTTCGCGGAAGGAACGAGGGACGTCGTGCTGGCGGCAGGCAATGAGAATGCAGCCGGCAATGATGGCATCTTGG